CCCCCCCCCCCCCCCCCCCCCAAACCTCCTTCTTCCGTTGCCTGTTTCACCTTGGACGCGACGAAGGCACCGGCGCGCTGGTCCATGAGGCAGAGCTGCTTCCAGGCGAGGCGGAGGCGCTGGCCGAGGTCTCCGATGTCGGCGTTCTTCTTGTTCGTCTTGGCAGCGCGGGCGGCCTCCAGCATGGTGTGGAAGTGGCCCACGGCGGGCGCGACGCCGCTCACGGGAACAACACCTGGTGTTGAATCATAGGATGAAGTTTTCGTCGCTGTTGTGTGGATTGGATTGGATTGTTGTTTCGCTGGTTTCTTCGTTCCTTGTCGTTTCTTGGAGAACGCATGGTGGTGTAAATACACCTTCCGTGATGAAATTAAGAAAGCAGGGCGAAATATACAAGACAGATAGAGAGAGAGACAGAGCGTGCATAGACAGACAAAAACGACAGACAGACAGACAGACAGACAGGCGGAAAGAGACAGGCGATGAGAGAGAGGGCGAGACGCACAGACAGACAGATAGACAAGACAGACAGACAGAGCGAGCGAGCGAGGGTGCAAAGACATGCCGAACCCCAGAAAAAACATGAACAACACTAACGTGACCCTCTCCATCCCCCGCATAACTAACCCCACCGCCGCTTACCGAGAAGCAGTGCGCACTCCTGGACCTTAGTGGTGCACCAGTCCTCGTCCGTTAGAGCGGCGTAAGCGGCAGCGGCCATCTTGGCCTCCTTCTTCTTCATTTTCTTTTTTTTGCCCTTGGCGTCCAAGCCCTCCACGGACCTGACTCACGCGCGCGTGCGTGTCACAGCAGAGTGGGATGGATTAGCATGAGTATCCAAGTACGGGAGAAGCATGTATCTCAACGATGCGAGAGGCATCCCCCCTGGAGTGGAAACCATCGCCAAAGAGCGCTCGGGATGGCGCTACACGTTGGATGCGCAAGAAACAGTGGCACTTGTCTTCCGCGTCGTAGTCCCGGACGGAGCGAATCACTCATCATGTGCCACCCCCCCTTCCCCCCGCTCTCTCGTGGCTTGGGGCATCATCCCTCCGCCCCCCTTCCCCTTTCTGTTGAGCGACCATCTGCAAAGTAGAAAGGAACGATAGGCCATTGGTGATCGGTCCCGTGGGAACAATGCTCCGTCTTCTCAAGGACGCGTGGTCAATGGTCTAACCGCCAAGGCATGCAAANCCCCCTCCCCCTCCCTTCCCTCTCACTTCTCGGCCTCGGCCTGCGCAGCAATGGCAGCCTCCACGTCCTTGGCGCGGGTCAACCGCTTCCTCGCGGGGCCGCTCCTCCTCAGGTCGGTGCGCACCACGGCGTGCGGGGACGGCTTGAGCAAGGGCGATGTCGCCATCACCACGTTGAGGATGCCGAGGTTGTTGGCCAGGTAGGAGGAGTCGATCAAGTCAAACCTGGGGGGGGGGGG